TGCGCAAAAAAGGGGTGCATAGAAAGGATGCGCTAAAAACGGGCGCGCAGAAGGGGCGCGCAACTTGAAAAGTAGTGCGCACACAAAAGACGGGTGCGCAAAAGGTGCGCGCAAAAGGAGTGCGCACAAATATTGCGCCAGAAAAGGGGCGCGGAAATAGATTTGCGTAGGAAAGGGGTGCGCAAAAGGGGTGCGCAGAAAGCCTCGGATGCGCCAAAAAAGGGGCGCGCGGAAGGGGTGCAAAGGGATGGTGCGCCAGAAGAGCCAGAAAAGGGGTGCGCAAAAAGGGGTGCAAAAGGAGCGCATAAAAGGGGCGCGCAAAAGGGGTGTGCAGAAAGGGGCGCGCAAAAAGGATGCCCCAAAAAAGGGGCGCGCAAAAAGGGGTGCGCACATCAAGAAGCACGTAGAAAGGGGGTGCGCAGAAACGGGGCGCGCAAAAGGGGTGCGCCATGAAAAAAAGGTGAGCAGAAACTTATGCGCCGGAAAGCCTGCGCGCAAAAGAGGTGCGCGAAAAAGGGTGAGCACAAAAGGGGTGCGTAGAAAGGATGCGCCAAAAACGGGCGCGCAAACGGGGCACGCAAGAAAAGGGGCGCGCAGAAGGGTTGCGCAAAAATGGGCACGCAAAAGGGGCGCGCAAAAATGGGCGCGTTGAAAAGCGCGATAGGCAATTTGCGGTGCGGAATTGGAACTGTATAGGCCGCCGGACTCACGTCCCTCGAACAGAGGGGCGTGGAACATTGGGGCTAGCGGCCAATGTCCTTCACAACCAACCCGAGAATCCCGGGTTGTTGATTTGGGACGCTCGACCGCGCTCGAAATCGAGGATTAATAAGCCGATAGCTCGGTCGGGCGATAAGACGGCTGCATATTTATCGTGCAATTTACCGCTGCGGTGATCCAGGCGCGAGAGCGATAAAATTATGCATAAATGCGGCGAGTATCTTAAATTCTAAAATCTGAAGTGGGCAGCCAGGCTCAGCTGTATCAACGTAGAGAAGCATGTGGTGCCCATGAGCAGGAAGCATCCATGCTTTCTTCTTGTATGTACAGCATGCGAGATCTACAGTAGTTCGGTTACAATATATTTAGCAGCTGCATGGGTTCCATACTGTTGTCCTGCTTAAGTTGATCAATGTAGCAGTGCCTGAGCAGGTTGGTCACGCATCAGCTTTGTAGACAATCAGAATTAGAGGACAGTGTCTGGCGCGCTCCAACATGCGAATCCTCGTACCCAACACTGAAGTACGGCACAATATGTAATTACCATGAACCTGATTGATAGTTTCTCTTTGTTCTGATGGCCTTGAGAAAGGCCAATTCGCATTCTGTCAAGACTCCTGAAAGTTTCCAATTCAGAGCACGAATATCCTGCACCAAAATGGGGAAACTTGGAAGACCGTTTTCGCGAATGTGTTACTCACAATTCATTACAAATAACCAACAGTTAAGCTGCTCAGAAGTCATCAACGAAAGAGAATACTGAGATCCTCAATCCACAAAAGCAGTGCTGCAAAGCAGGTTCATATGCAACATCTTCAGTGGATCACTCTTGGCAAAACCAACAGATCTCAGAGCAGGCCAGAAGCAAACGTCCGACTCACTCTGAATGAACCTCAAGTTGTGGCGTGCTTCCACGTTGTACTCTACCCCCAGGACTCAATCCCCTAAGTTGACTTCAAGCTGTAGACCTTGAAAGCAAAAAGCAGTCAGCCAAGCAGTCGCTATCTGGAGATGAAGTATGCTTGAAAAAGAGACACAACATTCGCTCAGGACATCTCAATCCAACTGCTGAGGTTAAGCCTTTGCCTCTGCTCCAGATAAGAATCTCCGAAGAGCCCCAGAAAGAAGGCCACTGCCTGAAGAGCCCAAGAAGAAGGCCACCGCCAATTCGGTACACAGTTTCTGAAAAGTAAATCAAAAACCTCATTGTTGGAGCAAGTAGGATACATCGAGAGCTCATCCTGGAAGACTGAAAGCCCTCACTCGAAGTCGATCGAATCTCCATACAGATCAATGACGATGAGTAATATCTAACTAGCTGCTAGAACTCTGGCATGCTTCCAAGCGCACTGCTAATTCACTTAGCGGCCCAGCTACAGAACACCTGCAATGACTGCTGTCCAATGCCAGATAATCTGATTCAGAAAAACTCTATGCACAATGTCCCCGACTGTAAAGCCTGCAATAATTCTCACAGATATATGGGCAAACATTGTACCCGCAGAACAAGTAGAAAAACAAGACCCCATACTCCCATGCCTTTGCCTATTGGGCACCAACTGTCTAACAGGACACCCAGCTGAACAATCACACTGGCCTCATGCCTTAGGATTGAGTCACCCCGCAGATTGGACACGATCAGGTAAGCTTGCCTCAAGACATACCGTTTCTAACCTGAGAAGAGGCAACCTGGCAACACACCCTGAACATGCAACCATGTAGCATTTACACATCATACAGAAGCTGGCCCTGGTACTCTTACCTGGCACAGCGAGTTCGCTCCCTCGCTCAAGAAGCTTCAAGACCCTGAGAAGTAAAAGGCTTCAACACCTCAGACAGTCCGGACCCTATGCGCGCCGCTTAGTATCTCCTCAGATCTGCTTTGCGTGACAAGTTCGCAGGCTATAGGGAGTGCTCCTGGACTCCTATCAACATTCCACGTAGTGAAAACCTTCCTTGGAGAGGTACCATGGCGGCGCACTGCTCAAATTTTCCAACCAAAAATCCTGAAAATGCTACCATGCAAAATGGATTCAGTGGTCCAGTGCCTCAGCAGACTGCTCAGGCTGGGTCACCTTACCTTGGTCATGGTGTAGCCTCGGCCACCATTGGTTTCAGCGGCTGTGATCATGCATGGGCCTACATCGGGTGGTGTTGGTCGCGCGTGCGAACTTTCACCTCGAGCAACTACTGAACGATGCACCTTCCCGGCCAAAAATTCAAAGCTGAAATGGCGCCCTTCGAGCGCCTTCAGTCACCTTCTTCTTCCTCAAATACCTCCAGGTCTGAATTTTCGATCGTTTACATGAGTCATTTTCATAATCATACAATTTGACGGTCGCGATCGACTGCCGCCGAGCGAATCAATTATCGTACGGTCGTGCAGCGCCTAGACAACTTAGCCCTAGGTTGATTGTGTTTGCGGGCAATACGTGAATGACTACCGGTCTTCCAGCTGGCCATAGGGCACTTTGCGGTGTACTCCGCTTTTTTCATGTTTGAACTTTAGTAGGGCCCATCTCGTAAACCCATGCAGAATATGAGATTACGGTGCTAACATTGAAAGCTTACATGCATATTAGCAACTGATAACTTAGATCTAGATAGCGCCATGGCCGTATCCCGTCATTCCGTTTATAAGCTTTTGGCTTGTCATATATGAGCTAGGGAGGCCGGGTTATGGTCGACGTAATGTTGCGGATGATTTTCTAGAATTTCTCACAAAACAGCTATGATACGGTAAATTCACTAGCCTCTCCGCTATGTTTGCCAAGTTGCAGTGCGGGTTTGGCGAAGTTCAACAACTTCGGATCGACTCATCAGGCTGTTGCATGGCGGTAGCTGGGAAGATCTAGTAAAACCTTGACAATATTGGATTTGCAAACTGAAACAAAATCTAACGTCTGCATACTGGGGATTGTCGTTGCGCGTAGCGCTAAAGTATACGGCGCACGCTAAAATATCATTGAGTGCCTTGGTCTCTTGCAGTGCTAGTGCGCACTGAAATGACGACCACTCGCGTAATTTTGCGTCAACCGGTGCTTTGCCCGTCATCATAATGAGAACCATCCGATAGATAACGTGAGTTCCAATTATTATCCAATGATCTCGAGACGTCGACAGTTGTCACCATCAACTGCAAGAACTTATTATCAGGCCTTCAATTTCCATACACTGTCGTAGAAACAATCTCCTGAAAGGTGCGCCAAATAAGCGGCGCGCAACAGGGGTGCGCAAAAGGGGTGTGCAGAAAGGAGTGCGCAAAAAAGGGGTGCGCAAAGGGGTGCGCAGAAAAGGGGTGCGCAAGAATGGTGGGCTAAAAAACGGGCGTGCAAAAGGGGTGCGCAGAGGATGCGCCAGAAAAGGGGTGCACAAAAGGGTGCGCAAAAAGGATGCGCTAGAAAAGGGGTGCGCAAAAGGGGTGCGCCAGAATGGTGTACCGCGAAACTGAGAGGTATGCCGCGAAATCGGAGGTGTTGGCACGAAACTCAGAGGTATGCCGCGAAACATGCAGATGTGCCATGAAACTGGGAGGTATGTTGCAAAACTTGTAGGTGTGCCACCACAAAACTAAGAGGTGTGCCGCAAAACATGCAGGTGTGCCACGAAACAGAGAATGATGCCGCAAAACCTGCAGGTGTGCCACAAAACTGGCCCGAAGTAAGCCACAAATCACAGAGGTATGCCGCGAAACCTGTAGGTGTGCCACGAAACTCCTAGCTAGATACGTTGCGAAACATGCACGTGGGCCTCGAAACCAGAGGTATGTCGCAAAACTTGCAGGTGTGCCACGAAACTTAGAGGTAATCTGCGAAACCTGCAGATGTCCCACGAAAAAGTATAAGAGATAAGCGGAATTCAGAAATCCAGAAGTATGCCACGAAACTGAGAGGTATGGCGCGAAACCTGCAGGTGCCACCGCGACACTGAGAGGTATGCCGCGAATTCTGCAGGTGTGCCGCAACACTGAGAGGTATGCCGCGAAATTTCAGGTGTGCCACGAAACTTAGAGGTATGCCGCAAAGCATGCAGATGTGCTACAAAACCGTCAAAGGTATGCCGAGCGCAATTTGCAAATTTGCCACGAAACTCAGAGGTATATGCCGCGAAACATGCAAGTGTGCTACGAAACTACGAGGTATGGGGTAAAATTTGCAAGTGTGCTTCGAAAAGGTCTAAGAGGTAAGCGACATTCAAAACTCTGGACAGAGGTATGCGACGAAACTTGCAGGTGTGCAACAAAATCCAGAGGTATGCAGCAACAGATGCATGTGTGTGGCATATACCTCTGAGTCAGCGATATGCGGCAAAAATTGCGGGTCACTGCCACGAAATTCCGAAACTGAGGCGAAACTTGCAAGTGTGCAACGAACTTCGGAAATTCAGAGGGATGCAACGAAATCTGCAGGTGTGCCACGAACTCAAAGGTATGCGATAATATTTGCAAGTATGCGACTGGTCAATCTGGTCAAAGTGAGCGGTATGCAACGAAACGTGCAAGTGTGCCACGAAACTCCGAGGTAATGTATGCGGCGAAACTTGCAGGTGTGTGCAGCTTTTAAAAGTACGAGGATCACTAAGCCTCTTGCGCAGCGTATGATGCACATCGCACACAGAAGGGCAAGGAGGAAGAGGGCCGACAGTGGGCCGAAAAGCTGCTGGATGCGTGGGAGGAGCGACAGCTCAAGCGGCGGGATGAGTAGGTGCCCAAAATATAGGAGGTGGATAGCTGTGCCAGGGACGGTGCACATGGCGGGTCAGGGGGAAGTGCGAGAATGCAAAATGAAGTCGCCGATTGCAAGTGCACTATTTGATGGCGTGATGCGACGGGGTATAGGATGTTAGATAGGCGCAACGACAATAAAATGATGCATTCCAGTAAGTTTTATTGAGCGAGCCTGGCTGCAAGGCTGCGTCACACGACAAACTCTACAATGAACAGCTCTTTACGACGTTGGATGCTGCGATCTACAATTGCTTCGAAAAAGCTTGGGCCTGCACTAATAACTGCAAAACCTACATCATCGATTTGCTACATAGAACAAGGGGAGCGGCCGGCCTGCTTGTAGTACAAGTGCATGCAATAACTGCAACCTACTTAATTCAATGGACCATTGAAGCATATAGGGTTGCGTATAGCAAAAGGTGCATATTTTCGATCCTTGGTAACATTTGGCAGTCCTTCGAAAATCATAGGAACATTGTAGCTTCATTGCTTTTCACAACATATCACTGAGATGATACTGCTTCTTTTCAATGAATGAACCTAATCACACCTGAAATCCGGTTGAACCATTGTCGCCACCGCACGCTGCTTACCACTCTTTATTTGGAAGCACGATCAATGTTCTAGGAACAGCGCCTCTTGCTTACTCGTGAGCCCCACGTCTTGTAAAGTCTTGCCGACACAGGCTTTAGCTTCCAGCACCCGTCGAGGAAAGGAGTTGATCAACCGGTAAGACCCGGGCTTGAAGCTGTTCTCGACATCAATTGAATCAAAAAGCACCTGCAAAAGTTGCTGACCAGGGTGAATACGAACCAGGGTGAACACGTTTCACAAAACCTAAGTACCGGTTACGGCTTACCCTGGTCAAAATCAACTTAGATATATTCTGCCTGATGGCTCCTTCAAAAGGTTCTGCCTTACCATTTGCCGATCATTCCAAGAGAGCAAGATTTCATCCGCAACCATCTGCACTTGTGACCAATGACTTGTAAAACGATGAAAGAAAATCATGAAGCTCTCAACCGCGGAACCAGGTTGGCATCAATGTCAGCGCTTCGAACACCTCTTCGGTTTGCATAAGCCAGGAACCCTCAAATCACAATTTAAGCAAGGCAATTGGCGACCATAAAACAGTGAAACTTGTTCTGTCCACAATCTGTCCACTCTAAGCTGGTGCCTGCTCTTAAACTGCACAGTGGCCTGTGCCGCGAAGCGGCCACAAAGTAAGGGGAAGCTTTTGCATATTTTGCATATCGCCCCACCTGCACGAGGTGATTTATTTTGTATAATTTGCTCACCTTCCCCACTCGCACGGGGAGATACTTTCAAAATCTTGGCATATGTTGCATAAATTCTGCATATTTTCCTACCTGCACGGGGTCGCTGCTCCTCAGCCGCCGCGCCTTGCGCGATCCGTCCGGCATGCGCACCATCACTGTCACCACCCCGGGCTCCCCGGCGGGCGGCTCCTCTGGCAGCGTCGACGCCTTTTCCGCCAGGTGCACCTGCAGATGCGTCCTCATTTTACCAGAAACTCTTGTTTCTCCGAATCGTCAATAAACTTGTCAAGCTAAACTAGGATGACGAGTTGCAATGTACTTTCATTACCCGTATCTCGGTCTGAGGGACGGTGATACAGCCCCACGAAGGAATCTCGAGTCCATTACCCACACTGCGATGCTTCAGAGCGCAAGGATCGTGCAGAGGATAGAGGCGGACATAAGATGCCTGAATCAAACGCCAGAATAGCTGTGGAAATTGACAAACCTAGGAATTAATTAATCAACTTAAATCCAGTTACGGCTGGTCACCCTGCCAGAACAATCAACCAGGAAAACCCTCCTAACCAGACCTATATACAACATACATATCATCTTTTGGGAAGCGCTGATTCGGAGCCCAGATCCGCTTCCAAAGCCATATTAACCCTTTTCCAAGAACCCACAGACCCACCCGAAAGTCAGGACAATCACCCCAGATCCAAGCCCCAGGCACCAATTTATGGTTCGTGCACTCTCGCCCACGGTTTCAAAGATTCTCACCTGCAGGGCCTCCTCCGCCTCAAGCCGCTCCCGCTCCTCCCGCGCCGCCTGCTCTAGTTCCTCCTCGCGTTGCCGCCGCGCCTCGCGATCCGCGCGCGCCTTCTCCTCCGCCTCGGCGGCCGCTTTGAGCGACTTCTCGCGGTCGGCGGCCAGCGAAGCTAGGTATTCCTCGTCCTGAAGAAAATAGCAAGGTATTTCAGCATAGCGCTCAATCAGTAAGTATAAGTGTATCCTCAGCAACTTCGCCAATATTTGCGCTGTCCCGCTCAGCGGCCAGATGGCAATCTTCCACAAAGAGCAAAAAGCACCTTGCAAGATTGTCAGGGAGGCAAGCGTTTCATTGGAACGAAGCGGGGTGCCGAAGATGCACAGGAAGCGGGCGGAGAGAGGAGGTTGTGAATGTGCGTTTCGAGTGAGGCGAGGCCTTAGCACGGCACGCAGGTCAGAAGGAGGAACTGGCTGAAACGCACTGGAGACGCTAGAGATCAGCCCTTCAGCTAATGAAAACTCCGACTTGGGAGGGGTAGAAGGAGGCGAAGGGAGGATGTAACCAATACAACGGAGAGAGTGCCTGATAATGTGTTGACCAGAACCGCACTCGGATTTCGTCAAGTTTGGCGGCCGGCTAAGATCGACAAGGTACCGGGCCTAGAAGGTGGCAGCCTTAAATCCCTAACGAACCGAGGAAAGGGATTGGATAATAGCGGCTGGTATTAGGCTGGCCGCAAACTCCACAGTATCGTAACGGCGAGGCGAAAGAAGGTCAAAAAGTTAGTGCTTACAGGAAGTGTCTGAGGTATGCAGGATTTGCAGACGCAATAGCTGGCCGCCTTCGTAACCTTTGCCAAGCGTCCAAGTCGTGAAAGAATAAGAGCCACTCAAAAAGTCGGCGACCGGGACTACATGCTAACATTGAAATGAGAAGAGAAAAGACAGCTTCTGGGCTTCTTGAAGAGTCACTGTCACGCTCCAAAGGCAGTTGTGACGGAAACAGCTTCAAAGACTTCGCTACCAAGAAAAGAATGATGGACTTCCGTTTGAATCCGGATCCCTGTTCATTCTGCATCTCCAACCCGTCGTCTTCTGTCGACCACTTTAGCTGGAAAGGATGACCCCCACGGAAGAAGAGAAACAGATGTTCAAAACGTTTCTGCACCTGGGATTCGAAACTTGCAAGGGCCGCATATCGCCCAGATCACCAGCAATCTTGGTCGACTGTTCAAGAAGGCAGCTCGGAGTCAAAGCTCCAAACCACAAAATATACCCTCAATACACACCTGCTGGTTCCGGATCTCTCTCTGCGCTTGCACCATCGGATCGAGCTCTCGGGGGGGTCGGTACCGTCCGAACTCGTCGTCCAAGTCCATGTCCTCGTACCCCCCCTCCGCAACCGCCGGTCGATAAGCGGGCCCTGCCGCCGGGTTATACGCTGGGCCCGGGTGGCCCGGCCGAGCCTCATAGGGTATCCCCATCATGGCTGCCTCCAGCATGCGGGCCTCTTCGCGCTCCTCCGCGGTGAAGCCCTCCAGCGGGTCTAGCTCCTGCAAAAAGAGTGTGAATACGCCTTTGCCATTGGAGAGAGTCCCGGTAATGTGAATTAGTCTCTGCAAGCACACCGGCTGCTCAACGCTGATATGCTAATACTTGTTCAATCAAAAACCAGCGATCTCCAAAACCCTCAGGTGATCCTCTCGAGAAAACTTCACCGGCAGGTTGCTGAGCCTTATGTGGGGGAAGAGGACAGGGAGGTTTTAGTAAAGTACATCTTACCACGTGGGAAATTGTCCAAAGCTAGCGTATCGAATGAATAGGATGCTAATGTCCGAATTCGGGCGTCCCAGCTGTCGTTGTCATCACTCTCTCTCGTCTTAAACCTCGCTGACGTGACCGAAGCCCGGCCGAGAGGGGTAACAGAATATCTTACCTCCGCAGGTCCCGCTCCTCCCACCGCTGCCGCTCTAGCTGCCACCACTCTCGCCTCTGCCGGGGTGGGCTCGTCGTTTCCGTCGGAGTCTCTGGCTGGGAAGCGGTGCGGCCAATTTCCCACAGGCGCCGGCTGCAGTAAACAAAAAGGCCACCTTAACATCTGCTGCAACCGACAGCCTGAGCTGTGTCTGGATTGGGGAGATTGCGCAAGAACACGTGGCAAGGTTTGGCTCGCGCCAAGGTTGGAAGCATAGAAATCCGAGGGTGCACAGACACACCCGATATTTGCTACGAACACAGTAGGGGTAATGCAGAGCGGGTCGCTACACTGAGCTCAATCATGTCCCTGGTTGTGTGCGTTTGACACGTGGCTCCAAAAGTTCACACTTAGGATGTTGCCGCAACAATCGTCTTCAGAAGAAAAACCCGCTAAACTGAGCCGCAGTCATCGTAAAGCCAGTTACTCTTAGCGCTCCCCTTTTGAAGTAGAACTCAAAGCACCAAACTCACTAACCTGTCGATTCGGTCCTGGTCGAACGCCGCCTCCAATGCCGCCCGCTGACCCCATGAAAGCCTGAACGTCCTCCACGAGTTCCGCCGCGTGCTCCTCGGAACTGGGGCGCCGGCGGGAGGAGCGGCTCGCCTGCCGGCCCTCGCGACCGGATGGGGGCTCGGGGGATGGGGACGCTCGACGGCTGCCGCGTGAGGGACCGACTCCTGCAGAGAATGAGACCTTGAGCAAGCCGCCTGTTGCTGCAAGCTTTCCTTCTTTCGTTGTGCCTGAAGCGAACTCCTCGATCCAAGCCGCAGAAAGGAGACATTCCGTTGTGGATCGTATCTCATGAGCCCCTGATTCAGTGTAGGTACTGGTGCAGGTTGTCTAACAAGAACGTTGACTGAGGACGGACATCGCCAATCCGAAGGCTGGAGCTACGGCGTTTCCAAAAGCTTGGTATGCTAAGGAAAGGTAAAAAGCCTGGATCAAGCACAGCTTCATGCGGTGTTCTTCCGTGGGTGAATCCAGCAAACGACGACCAGAGGCGGCCGTCTGGCTCGGAAACAAAAGAAAGAGAGGCCCATGCAGAAAGCAACTAAGAGATGCAGACGCCTGACTAGCGATGTGCGGAAGTTTGCGACCTCATCTCTAGATCAACAGTCGAAACCGACTCGTGTGCTTCAGTTGAGACGAAGCGAACTTGGATTATACGAGTCTTTTCAAAAGGGATTGGGAGCTCAGAAACTCACCTGCTACGCGCCCGTTTGGATTCGGAGATCTGCTCTTCTTGCTGCTTTTGCGCGCTTGGCCGGTCCCTCCCTGATCTTCGTCGTCCTCAAAGCCTTCGATAGGAATGTCCCGCACGCCGCTTCGGGCTGACACCCCATTTCCGTAGGAGGTTCCGCTGAGGGGGCCGACTCGTGGAGCCGCAGGAGGTGGGAACAGCTCAGCACCGACGTCAGCCAGACGGTCCGGAGGTGGCAGCCGAGTCTGCTCCTGCTCGGCGGTCTGCGAAGATAGATGACCAACGCGTGAATATCTCAGGGATCAGGAAACTCCTCGAGATAGGATGTCGGACATTCTGCCAGAACGCAAGGTGCCCGAACATCCAGGACTGGTCTTTCCAGACTTGCTCTGGGAATATACCAAGATGCAGGACAAATCAGAATATTACATCCAGTCTCTCATCTTGGTTCAGAGGCTCCAGAACCAGCCATGACTGCTGCACTTCTGCTGCTGCCCAAGGTATCCTCGATGAGCGCACATAACTTTCAACAGAATTGTCCTCACCTTTAGTGACTGAGAGATGGCCTTCTCGAGATCTTCGTCATCCGCAGCTGGCCCCCCACCGTGCTCCTTCATCGACGCTTCGAGCGCCGCCCTCATCATCTCCTCCTCGACATCATTGTGGTCATTGACTGCCCCTCCCGCACCTACAGCTGCATCCCTGCCTGTCGCGCCCCCATCATCTCTCTCCTGAATCGAACTCCCAAACCTCTGGAAAGCTGGCGGCTCTTCTTCCTCATCGAAGGGCGATTCAAAGCGAGGGACGCCTGCTCCACTAGGCGCAGCTGATCCATGGCCAATGTTTGGGGGTAGCAAGCCAGGCGCCCCAAAAGGGTCTGTGCTGGGTTCTGCATGCGTGTCAGACGGCCTAGAGCGTCGGTGTCGCACTAGGGGCTCTGATGGCTCTTCTTCATCCGAGATGGGGTCCGCCAATGCTGGTTGAGGTGGTGGTTGCGCATTGCTGCAAAAGGAATTGTCAACTTTGCCTCGCAAATTGATGACCGCTAGGTTGCAAAAGCAGTCTGACCAGGCGAAGTTGATGCAGAGTGTTTTCCAATTCTGCTTGGTCACGTTTTGACATTTTGTACATCACTATATTGAACCCTTAGTGAAGAACCTGCTAGAATAGAACGTCATCTGACACTTAAGAAATGCGTTTTGCCTTAAAAATACTTTTTCTCTTTTATCCAATGCTGGATGATTACTTTGAGATTGTGGCTGCTTGCAAGGTTGATCTCTGCCTTCCTTGGCTGAGCATTTCCAGTATTGAAAGCGAGAGACAGCGGTCCACGTGTCTGCTTTTTTTTTGACATCTTCCAAAGCAAGAGTTTCCTAGACAGAGTCCTCACATATGAAAGTCACATCCTGAGAGAAAGCACCATACCATCACCTTCACAACTCACTCGCCTTACATCAGCCATTCGGTTGATCTCTGAACAAATAGAGTTGTTCACACATAGCATGGATCAGCGACAGGGGAACATCAGCAGTTTTGATGCAGCATATGTAACAACCACTTCTGCAATCACTCACGAGGGTGCCGGTACTTGCGCTCCGTGCTCCAGAAAGAAGTTGATTGCGTTGTTGAGGTCGCCATTGTGAGCCTGTGCATGGACATTATAAAACTTGAGCTTGTAGGCAAGGGTTGCTCCTTCAAGGATCATTGCAAACTCTCTGAACAAAACGCGGAACAGAACACACAAAAGGGCGGGTATTATGTTTGGCCTGCAGGATTCAACCAAATATCAACATAGAGGACTGATGCAGGGGAGAAGGGTCGTCATGTCAAGAATGTTGCTGATCCTTCGTCTAAATCACCAGGTGAAACAGCTAGTGCATGTCGCTTCCATCTCACAACCTGCGAGATCAGACATATCCGCCCTCCTTCATGCATGCTTTGGCCGGAAGGAGGGGGTGGCTCACATTGAGCAGCTGATGTGCCGTCTCCTCGTCTGCGCCAGTCACCCCCATAAACATCTCAACCTGATCACCCATGGCGCCCGCTGAAAGGGCGTCCAGACAAAAACGTCTACCTACGTTCGCTTTCTCACTTGTCGCTTCGGCCCTGGCAGAGGCTGTCTTCCAGACCCCCACCGCACCGTCTGAGCTTGCCAAGCATAGCTTATGGATTTTGTTCATAGACGTCTACATAAGATAGTCAGCGTTCTTAGCGCGCGTGCGCGCGTTGCTCCTCATGCAGAAGGGACGCACAGGATAAATCTGCACAGACTCGAAGTTGAAGTTGCAGCCTATGCAGCCTCAGGCTCAGGACAGATTTGCAACTTGCGTGGTAGGTGGAACGCTGCATCAGGCCTCCATTCACAGCCGAAACTGTAGGAACGTCCATTTTTGCTGCACTATAAAGGAAGCAGGCCTTTTCCTCTTTGGCACGGGCAGAATCGAGCCGAGCGCCGAGATATTGATCGTTGAATCGCGGCTCATTGAGGTTTTCTAATCTGTCTTGAAAGAAGCGCTTGCAACCTCTGGAAGCATTCCTTAAATCTGCCTAGAAACTGAGTAAGAAGCATGGGGAAGGACGAGCGGAAGCATTCTGATTCAGACTCCTCGCCGCCAAGCCGAGACTATGGAGACCCTGGGGTTTTTGAAAAAGAGGCCATGATTGGAAACGGGGCGAGGTCAAGTGTGGCGGAGGCGGCAGCCAATCAGAAGGCAGAATCATTAGGAGAGCAGCTTACCAAGGCTGTCACTGCAAGTACACAAGCTCTGCAGGCATTGAATGCACCTATCGTTCTAGCGATCACATCCTATGCGATCTGCAGCTCCTGTATGCTCGTTGTCAACAAGGTTAGTGCTTTCTTTGAAGGTGCCTTTGAAGTAGCTTTTTGCTCATTGAGGTCTTTCAAAAACCAATCAACAAAAGTGCAATATATGAAGGATGTTTCAGCATTCTTTCTGCTAGCAGAGCCTGTTCAACGGATGTGAGCTGAGTCGGGTGGTGCTTTCAGTCAGCTGACAGCAATTTTCAACGGGTACAATTCTGAATACCTAAAGCGAAGATTGCCAGGTTTGATTGCCACATTATGAGCCCAGGGTATCTCCATTTTGAGCATGACAGTTCTTAGCGGTGAATGGCTGGTGTGGACTAGGAACTATCGCTGAGGGCCATCACCTGGACCTTCATCTCTTCGGCAGCTACAATCATGGCAACTTCATACGGCTGGCTCGGTTGTTGCACGAGTTCCAAATTCTGTCCACACTCTATCCGTATAACTTGTCAAGGAGAGGTCGTGAGCTGGTGCGCCAGCGCTCAGTGACCACCTATTTGTTAGACCTGTCCTGGATCCTTGTTCAGTGCGCACGTTTGCAGGGTCCATTGCTGGCCACTGGACCTTGACTGTAGTATCTACTTATGCAAAGGGAAAGGGGGGGCTGGTCAGCGCTTGCCCCCCTTGATCTGTATTATGTTCTTTCTTGTCCTTGTGCCGGCTAATTGAGGAGACCAGACGGACAGGGAGCCTGATGTGTCATGGATGAGATACAAACAGGTTGCACCAGTGTATCTTGGCTTGGCACCCAAACCGCTTGACATCAATGTATTAGCCAGTGAACTCCTTGAAACTATCTGCATTGAGGGCTGCATCAGAACTTTGTATTTTTGTCTGCAGGTGACTGTTCACTTGATTCCCGCTCCTTCGATCGTACTGAGCATACAGATGTACTTTTCAGCCCTATTCGTGAAAGCTCTCAAGGATATGCGGCTCGTAGAGGCAGACGACCTTGAATGGGGCAAGGTGAGGCTCGCTTGAAAACTCGCATTCTTCGAAACGCTTCAGGAAAGTCTCTATATTGATGATGACCCTCAGTACTGAAAGCATGAGTCTTGGCACCTACGAATGCTCTCAGCTATGAAGTATACAAAGGACAACAGGAACTGGCAGATACCATTTGCTGACAAGCGCGGTTCTTTGTTTGCAGATCAAGCTCTTTTGGCTCGTGGCATTCGCGTTTCTGGCTGGGATCTACGCAAACATGAAGACTCTACAGTATGCCAACGTAGACACGTGAGTATCCTGCGAGCTCAGTCCTTGTCTTCGCATCCATCCACATTGCAGACCCCCACTACACTTAAGAATCCTGTGCACAGTCTTTCTGCTGATCCGATTCTTAGTCCGCCTCGAGTCTGGTTCATAGAATGGTCGTTTGTCTAACGCGTGTCGTTAGAATGCTTTTGTAAGCCCTTCTCATGTATCTGTTCCCAGTACATCGGCTCTGAGGCATGCTCCCGTGTCAACACGCATTTCTCCTCTTTTACGTTCAGATTCATTGTCATTCGCTCCTCAACACCGCTCCTCATCTCCCTGATGGACTTTGTGTTCCTGGGCCGAGAACTCCCGTCTCTGCGGTCGTGCTGTTCCCTCCTCGTCGTGTTGGTGGGAGCAACTGGGTAAGTCGTGCATTTGGTACAATCCAAAAATGGGTTTCCTCTAGAGCTTTGCGTCTGCTCTTTCAAGCAGAAAGATAAAAGCTGCGCCAACCGTCGGATTGAACGATTGAGTAGGACCGATTCCCAAGAAGTCTTCCTTGCGCCCGAAGCTCCAGGCTTGAAGATAGTGGAGCGAAATTTCTGATTGCCAGGGGGAAACGGGTTACTGACGAGGTTCTTCCAATTGCAAATTCTTCAGGACAGTCAGCCTTGACCTCCAGAAACTATGGTTTTCTCCTCGTGTTGGAATTTATCGGGGTCTCCCCAGAAGTTACGCCGAAAAGGACACTTTGAAAGCTGCCTCATTTCCCCAAGGTTGTATTCTTCTTTTCTCCCTTCTGGTCCATTCCAACAAGTCTCCCCTTTCACGAGTGAGGCTTTGTCTTGAATACGGAAAGAAGACTACTTATCGAGATCTCCAGCGGCTTGAAGGAGCACCACACTGTCAAAGCAGGCACCTGATCGGAGACAGTTTACTTTCGCAAAGCGGGACTTCTTTGGTCGGGGTCCACTTGAAAGTCTTTCTTTCGATTCAATTTGCACACGCCACTTCTACAATTAAATGCACCGTCCAAACATTCATTTGAATCCTGCTGGATGCCAAAATGCTTGCGGCACCCCCGCACATGGGGACGGCACCTCAGGTCAGCGTCGTTCAAGACCGCTCGACGTTTTGAACCGTTCAGTCAAAATTTCAACCCACATGCTGTCGCTATCTCACCAAGCACGCTTTGGTCATTGCTCCCCCGCAGGTACGTCATCACGGACGCCAACTTTCAGATCCGCGCCTACGCGTGGATCGTCGTGTGGCTGTGCGTCTTCACGTTCGACCAAATCTACATCAAGTACGTCGTCGACACCGTGCCGATGACCACGTGGGGCCGCGTCATCTACTCGAACGCGATCGCGGCGCTCCCGGTAACGGTCCTGAGCCTGGTGCAGCAGGAGCAGGCGGTGCTCTTCTCAGCGTCGTGGGGGGGCTACGCGGCGCTGCTGCTCTCGTGTTTGATGGGGCTTGCGATGAACTACAGCGCGTACACGCTGCGGCACATGGTGTCGGCGACGTCATTTACGGTGAGCGGCAAAGGCCGTTTGGGTGTTTTGCATTGGGACGCCTCGTGTGGCACCGGAAGAGAAGAAGTGGTTTGTGTCCCGGGGCAGCTGTAAGTAGAAGCTTGGGGAGATTGGGGAGAGTTGCGGGTCGAACGGTTGTTGTCCGTTATCCCTGCGGCAATACTTCTTTCCTCCTCCTCGACTTTCCTCCGAAGTCTGATTTCACGGGCCGGACCGGATACAGTAGGATTGCGGAACGATCCGACAAATCGTGCCGTGCAACAGCCAGTAAGGTTGTCGTTGCCAGAACTCGTCACTGCAGGCGTGTTGGGGACGGGTTTGCTTGCGTTGCCACGTTGAACGGCGTTGCATGGCTCGGTAATGCAGAATCTACATCCGCTTGAGTTTTTCCTGAGCAGCGAAGCGTTCAATATCTGTTTGGTGGGTTCTCTACAACCGTGTGTCAACGTGGCACAAGTTGATCGGCATATTGCCTTTTGCAAGCGTTTGGCAAGCTCGCTACGCCTGCTGCTAAGCGGGGAGCGCAGAAGGCCATCCAATTGAGAAGTCTCAGAGGCCGATCAGCCGAGTACCCGTCTACCCCACTCGCTTTAACTATACTGAAGACTCTCCTTTGCCTCGTTGCAGGTCATTGGCACTCTGTGCAAGATTCTGAGCGTCTTGGTGAACTGCTTGATCTGGGATAAGCATGCGTCGGCAGTTGGCTTGGCGTACCTGTATGTTTGCTTGGTAGCGGGGAGTTTGTACCAACAAGCCCCAATGAGGCGACAAAAAACCATGCCTACGAGTTGAAAACAAGTTAGATGCTCTCTTTAGTTACTTAGGTCTGAAAGGTACAGCAAGGAACCTGATGACCGATTGCACACCGGCGACTAAGTTATAGGAGGGAGAGGACTAGTAGGAGTTGCAAGGATGCTATGCGAGCATGGCATTCCGAGTTCATTACGTCCGTTCAAGCGCTCTCCTCGGGAAGGTTTCCGTACCCCAGATGCTCAATTGTGCCAGTGCTTGAATGTCCTCCGGGATATCAAGCCGATGCCCAGCCTGGCAGAGCTGACAACGGACCCAATATAGACTGCTGCATAATGGCAGTAAGCGAGAGAATTGCATGCAGAGTGCTCGGGGGAATATGAGATTCAACTCGATGTTTAAGCCCACTTGTCATTGGATCGCGGCAGGCTCGTAGCTGTTCTATACATGAACCAGATTCACCAATGGCGGCGCTTGCGGCAGGAGAGGATTGAGTACGCGATTTTGTAGCTGCTCGCATGCGCTGAATGCCATGCGCATGTGCAGCAACCTGTGGCTTGAAGGCTACATGCCCGTACCGGGGCCAATATATACCATACGCACGACATCTAAGAAGCTGGCGTTCGCGGCCCCTGGCTGCACGACCAACTTGTTTACCAATACGTTATTCGGGTGAACTGCATATCAGTGCGCCAGGACTAACATAGTTGTCACAATTAACCGGCCGGACTCAGTGAACAGTATGGATGGCAGAGCCCGAATCAATTTGGTACAGGCATACTAGAGATGCGGCTACTAGAGATGCCAAGCGAGACCGTCTGCATGCAGCTATAGATGGATCACTGTGAAATAAATGCACACATTTATAGAAGTAATAATGACGGTCGGACAGGCTTGGATCGTTGATCGGATATGCACATTGTCAAACAATGTGCAACTGTCGGGCTATTAGATGGATCGACCGGCCAACTTAATACCAACAAAGCACCCAATCAATGGCAAAGCACGTTACAGCCAAGATTGTTCAGGTCCTCCAGTCATTTGATTCTTCCAGTGAGGAATCGTCTTCCCACCATGTCGATGTCTGCGACAGGGACGAGAGGAGTTCAGAGCATATATTAGTGCTTACCAGCAGATTAGAATGCACACGCGCATACATTGGGCAAACTAGCCAGCTCGCGGCTCGGTCTTGCCAGCGCCAGAACAAGAGACGACACTGGCCCATCGCACCCGCACGGAACACATTCTTCCGAACAGAGGATTGGACTTGAGCCGATGCTCTGCAGCAGCAAAATCTCTTCTCAACGATTTTGTCATATGACGGGAAACCTCGTCCGGACACGGAATCCCACTCTCTGCCAAAGGCCTTCACATCCGAGGAAGAGCACGCACGCACCCACAATGCATCCGCACGCTAAAACTGTCCAGACAAACGAAAACCCCTTCCGGACACGCGATCTCGCTCTCGTCCAAAGGCGTTCGCATCCGAGGACTATCACGTGGAGACCAAAGTATTACCCGCCCGCTGATACTGTCCAGACAAGGACACTCCATCCCGGAAGCAAAAGTGTGCCCCAAAAAAGAATCACATACGCACCTAAATATTACCCGCTCGCCGCAGTCTGTGCTCACCTTATACCCCCGCCGGAGGAACTGCAGCGCGCTGCCCTCCTCCTCCGTGTTGAGCCCGAGCGAGATGAGCAGCTCCTCCTTCACCTGCCCCAGCGTGAAGCGCTCCGCGTCCTCCGCCACGCACACGTACGTCCCGTCGCCCTGCTTCAGCATCACCTGCCACGGGCCTGCACAAATGCACGCAAAGACCTGTTATTTTTCTGCCTTTGTCTTCTCTTTATGTTCGTTTCTCTTTAATTGTCTCGATTCTTTCCGAAATCTATTCTGTGTTTCATCGCCCTGCTTCCGCATAACCTGCCACGGGCCTGCACAAATGCACGCAAAGACCCATTTATTTGTCTGCCTTTGTCTTCTCTTTGTGTTCGTTTCTCTTTAATTGTCTCGATTCTGTCAGAAATTTGTTCTGCGTTTCGTCGCCCTGCTTCAGCATCACCTGCCACGGGCCTGCGCCAACAACCGTGCATTTGTTTTCCGCTGTATTTGGCTTCTTTCGCCCTTTCCATCCGCTTCCTTCCCTTGCTTGATTACGCTTTCTGTCAGCAGGTCGCGAATCCTCGGGATGCTCGATTCTGCAGCGCAGCCGCCCAGATTGGGAACAAGGAATACAGTGCAAAATTAGCCCAAATTCGTCAGGACAGTCCTCGTTTCGGCTTCAAGCGTCGACTTTCCGGCAGTCTCAAAGAAGGCAGGAACGAAGCATCAGGAAGCGTAGAATTCCGACGTCGGAGATTGGACGGCAGCGCTGCGAGTCTTGGTCGTCCACCAGCACTCTCAATACTCCACGGTCCACCCACCAAACGTCGGCTCGCAGCAAAAGTATTCTGCAAACAACGCCAACACCGGTCCAGCCTTCAAATACCTTACCGGGGTATTGTCTGAGCAACGCGCCGCTGTAATTGATCAGGAAAGGAGCCACGTTGACGCTCTTGGAGTAGTCCCGTTGCCGGATGTAGAAGACGGGCTTGAAGGTGGATAGGAACCGGTACTGCAGGTCCTTCGGGGGGAAGCCTAGCAAGCCGAGATCGGACCTGGAGCAAAAAGTTGGCGAAGGTTCCGTTTGTGTGACTTTTTCGTCCTTTATAAGACCGCAAAGCTAACCTTAAGGAGACGTGTATGGAGAAACAATGGAGAAAGACGGCCTTGCAGAAAGCTAACAAAATACTGACGTGATTTCGGATCAGTGTTCGCGGTCGGACTGGGCGCTCATGGTGGGGGACCGACGGGACAATGGTACCCTAGTGAATTATCATTCTTCATTCGCATTTCTCGAAGAGGCGAGCTGACGAACCATGAAACTACCCCAAGTTTCCGAACAAGTCGCACCTCTCCAAACCCCTTTCAGACCGGTGGACCACGAGGTGGACCAGTGTGGGTCCGACCTGGTTGCAGGCACTTACGAAGCAGCCTTTGCTTTGTGCCATTATCTCGCTCTGCGAGGAGCTTCTATCCTCCCGTCCAAAGATTCCGGCCGTTTTCTCGAAACCATTCCAAAAGGACACAAAGAAGCCCGTCAGCGGTCAGCCTTTCTGCTCTCGATACTGGCAATCTTTGCTTCGAATCCGGCTCCCGCGCTGCCAAAGGTATCTTGACAGCAGGTTTCGCGTTTCCTAAAGCCCGACAACTTACCTCAACGTTTCTAACTCCAAGTTGAAGAGGATGACGGGCAGGTCTTTACAAAACGCCGTCTGCACAGAAAACAAACAAAAGCGGGCAATGTCTTCAGACATGAGAACCGTCGATTGACAAAACCGTCCCCTACCCGCGAAAATCGTTCGGGAGGCCAAAAGATCCCTGACTCAAAATAGAAACTAACATACAAACAAACAGTAGATTTGGTTCTTACTTCTTTACTTGTTTAGATATTCCTACTTAAAACCATAACAGCATAGATTTTAGCTGGCACTTCAAAACGCTAAAATTTCATTTGTATCCACCCGCAATTAACACTTCTACAAGGCGACTCACCGCGTAAGCCTCCACCCCTTTCAGCTCCACGGTACTGCAATTGAGCACGATCTGCAGCTCCCCCTCCGCGGGGGGCCGCACGAGCGCCGCCACCGACTCGTCGATGTCGCTGAAGTCCAGGTCCAACGCGCTCGTCACTGCGCCCCAGAAGCCCTTTGAGGCGCCCCCCGGCGCGTCTTCTAGGGTGCCCAAACTTAGGCCAGAAGTCTAGAGAGAGGGAGGAAATTGAGGGTTTGAATAGGTATACATTCTGGTTCAATAAGGCAGATGAAAGGCCGTCGAAAGAGCCTTGGAGGCGCCCTGGCGCGTCTTCTAGTGTGCCCGAACCTAGGCCCGACGTCGGGAAGAGACGAAAGATTTGGAAGGTTTGAATATCCGCGAGCAAAAAGACTCGTTTTGATAGTAAGAGGCCGTCGAGAGACCCTTTGAGGGCCCCCCCCGCGCGTCTTCTTGCGTGCCCAGACTCAAGCCCGAAGTCTTGAGAGAGAGGAGGATGTCGAGGATTCGATGGTTCATATGATTGTCTTCACTTTGTTAAAAGGCCGTCGAAAGACCCTTCGAGGCGCCCCCCCGCACGTCTTCTAGCCTGCTCAAACCTTAAGCCCGACGTCTGGAGGAAGACACGAGTCAAAACTTTGAAAAGGTTCAAGACTTGGATCTCGATCGCATAGACGAGGCCGTCGAGATATCTGTTCAGTGCATCCTTCGACATGTCCAGGCTCACGTCCGAAGTTTGACGGAAATGGAAAAAGTTGCGAGGATGTGGAGGGCTTTGACTAGATGGAACACGTTACACGAAACTTCTTTGCAATTTGACGCGCAGGTAATCAAGTGATGATTTCGCAAAGATGGCGTTTCGCTGCTTGAAATCTGATTTGCCAATGATTGCGGATCTCGACACAGCAGGCAGCAAAGAAGCAAGGACGACCTTTGTACAAGCCCGGACTTTTCAAGATCCCAACAAAAGAGCCCTGGCTATATTGACCCAGCCAGTCGTTAGATGCTTCAAGGTTTTGCTTGACACCGAGAGGAAAGGGAGCCTATCTTACAGGCATAATTACTGCTTGCCTGACCAATCAATCCGGAACTACCTACCGTTGCTAGAGCTGTCTTGAAGTTCCGCACGGCACGCTTCAGCTCCACTTTATCGGAGAACACCTAAGAGTCGGTATTCACACGCTTGGTTGGGCTGGTTTATCACGTAAACACATACATGCTTTCATTACCAATCATTCAAGCAGATAAAGGCAGGCGACACTGTTAGAGAGGGGCAAACGATGGACGCTTTAGAGGAGCTACGGAGCCCAGTCTGAGCGCTACACCATTGTGATGCAACTCCTCCTAGCGGAACTTTCCCAACCCGAAAAGCAGCCGGTCTTGTGCATCTTTACTACGCTCGGCCACTCCTTGATAACAATTGGCATGAGGAAAGTCCATTCTCAATCTCTCCAGGACGACTTATTATGCGCCAAGCCAAGAAAAAAGTTGACTCCTCACCAGCTTGGCATCTCGACCGGTGCTCTCCTTCAGCTTTCGTGCCATGACGATGGCCAGCGAAATGTTGGCGTCTGCGAACTCGTCGGAGGCGCCCTGCGAGAGGAACGAAGTGCTTGGATCACACATTGAGACCATTCCATTATTTGTGACACTCAGGTGAAACGGATTGCATAAGGGACATACTTGGTACAGGGCATTTGGGGAAATAATATTTTGGTGCTTCTATTACAGGGTCGCTAGATTGCCTACCAAGAACGAGAGCCAGAATGTAAACTCGTTGGCTTACCTTGTAACCACTGACCGAGCTTGGAAGAGGCCTGCAAGAGGAAGGCTATCACATCGCTGAGAGGGGCTTCGTAGAGGGCACAAGAGAAACTGCAAGTGTTTTGCTTTTCAAACACCCGAGAGTCTCCAAACATAAGCACTGATAGATGCTGCAAGGAACTGATTATGGGAGCTTGTAGTCCACACTGGATCTCAAGCTTGCGAAACTTTCCTGGCCGGATAGAATGACGTTCCACAACCCCCAATAAATAAACGGCATGGCAGGAAGCGACACTCACGGAAACTCCACCTCCATCCTTTTGAGTCCATCATCGAGCCCGTACTTGACCGCACGAGCCGCATCTGCAGATTTGTAGAATGAACATCTCATGAATTCTGATATGTGAAGTGGCATGCAGCTACTCAGGACTTTTGACCCTATGAAAGAGTTAGTGCAGCATTCCAGAAAGCAGAATGGGGATAGCCTGAAAGCTTGTCATGCGGATGATGCCCAAACTTAGGAAAGTCGTGTTTTATGGATTGCTTTTAAGTATAAGCCGCATACGAACTATGCTTCTATCATATGCCACACTTGCATTCTTTTCGCTTTTGATTCTTTATATTATGCTGCTCTCGTACGCTTTGCGCTTGTTGCTGAAGGCTTTACGAATGTGGGGCACTAACCTGAGATCAGAACCTCAAAAGACGCGGGCTTGTACTTCGCAACGCCAGCTTTAGGATCCACGTCTGTTCCGGCAGACGCCCGCACAACGCACCTTGACCCGCCCCATACTTTCAGCGCAGGCTGCTGAGTGTCACACAACCTAGCACAACCAAGTCTAATTATTTTGATCCCAGAATGTCCTCGTTGGCATGGCATATCTGCCCTGGAGGGGAAACAACTTCGGGGCATACAAGGGGCTGGGTATTGCGCAAGAGTATTTTGTGTCAGTTCCACTCGACATGGACTCAACAATCTGTCAGCAACACAACCTGGTTGTGCGCGGTGCAATGCTGTGGCCATCGCTGCCAGCGCTGCTTGTCAGCCCCTGTTGTCTTCAACAACACAACAACACGCTGGCAAAGTGAATATCGTGCTATCGTGAAATCCGCGTTCAGGGCAAGCTGGCAATGCAGGTCTCAATACCAACTGGCCCAGTTGGTCACTAATGAAAAGCCTCTCCTCTATCCTCCAGGTCCTGCTTCGTAAGGGAGGTGCAAAATGCATTGGCTTCCTGGGACCTGCAGGCTCAGCTTCCTGTTGGCATTCAATTTCAAGTTGCTGGCACAATGGTGTTGGAAGTCTTGCAGGTCGAGCTCCAAGGAGGCGGAGAGGTTTTACCTTTTTCAGGAATTCCCTTTCCTTCTACGTTACATTGCAATTGAGAGCTTGCCAAACTGTAGGATTCAGGCGATTGCAACGTGAGAAATGTAACGGGGCCTTGGATACAGGATTCTGAATGTCGCAAATCACCCCAGCATTGAACTGGTATTACTTACCGTTTTGACGAGAAGGAAGCCAGCAAAGCGGCGCTCTGCTACAGCGACGCGATTGCTGGTGTGCAATGCTGGAATAGTCAAAGTGTTGGCCCTGAGATTCCGGGAAGAAAGCAACTCTGAGCCGGACCTGGTGCTTTACAAAGTTGCGTTGCGCTCTTTGTGGTGCCAAGAAGCAATGGCAGCCACTGCGGTAGGACGTATGTGTGGACGTCCCATCTTTGACCTGAATGCAAGGTGCAAGTCAGGGACAAACAGGCCGGAGCAGGGTGCTAGAGAATGTGTAGCGTCGGCGATCGCAAGGCCAGGCCCTCAGAGGACTGTGTTAGGGGCCTCCGTGAATATAGGTTCAGAGTCTGGAAGCTGGTTCGGCAACAGCTTGCGGCTCTCTGTCGTGGAGCGGTGCGCAGAGAAACGGCCTTCAGGTAGCCTTAGCGAAACCCTTTGCACAGCTTTCTTCCCGGGTCAGGTCAACTCTGGCTCCCTACGGTGGCGTCTGATTCTAGAATGGTCATCTCCGTTAATACATCACTTGTCTATTATGAAGATCATAGCGCTCTTTATCTCTCATAATGTGGGTGTGGTAAAGACCCAGGATTGACTGTGTGGTCATCTCTCAAAGGATCAAGAATCGCTCATGTCGATGCAGGGGTTACAGATCCAAAATGAGGGTTTTGGCTTGAGTTTCATGTTGAGTGCCCTGATGAATTTGAGAAACGTTGCACTAAGACAGTAGTTGCAAATGGATTTCAATGCAGGAATCCGAGCGAGCGGCGGAAACTCGTTTGGAAGAAACTTTGTCGTCACAACGTTCGGTGAATCCCACGGAGGCGGCGTCGGGTGTGTGATCGATGGCGTCCCTCCAAATCTGCCCCTGACTGAAGCAGATATCCAGATTGAGCTGGACAGAAGGTATGTTAGGCAGTTTCTGTCACCTTTTCATTCTGATGTCAGTGCAAGGAGAATCTTAGTAGCGAGCTTCTCGCTGTTATGCAGCGGCACATACAGCATCGATCCTTGATCGAGTATCGTCTGATTAAGGAAGTGGTTAAATAACAAGGGGCCCCATCAAGTCACCAATCTTAAGTGATCAAGTCTCCTTGTCTGCAAGCACGCTCTTCATACCCTACCAGCCATTGTGAACTTGATTGTGTTGAGATGGTCTGGGGGCAACCAGGAAGCAGAGGAATAATGTCATCAATGTCAATAATGTCAAACACTTTGCAGGAAGCCTGGGCAGAGCCGCATTACCACTCCGCGGAAGGAGTCTGACACGGCAGAGATTGTGTCTGGGATGTCCGATGGGGTGACTCTCGGAGTGCCGCTCACGGTCCTTGTCCGAAACAAAGATCAGCGGGGGCAGGTGAGGGTACTTGTTAGCCCCTTGCCCAACTCTGGCCCTGACAATCCCAGGGCGACGCATAACAGTGACTTCGGAATGTAACGACCTTTGTTGGTCAAAGTTGCTTGATCAGCTTCGTCATGACTTGACTCCCTCCAAACCCAGACAACACTTTCTTTGTTTAGATTGCGGTTGTGAGATCTTCCCCCATTTCGTCCAGGCCAGACCTTGAATTTCCCGTTCTTGCCAGTGTCTGAAAAGTGCTATTCTGTTCTGGCAACCATGAAGAACCAGCTCTTTCTGATCACTAGTGGTAGTGGTGGGCTCTTTCTTGGCTTCTGGGAGGCATCAAGAGGTAAACTTTGAGTCTCCTACTCATCATGTTTTGCAGGACTACACTGACATGGAAGTGAAGTACCGGCCGTCGCATGCAGATGCAACGTACGATTTCAAATACGGCGTGCGGGCAATCCAGGTGAGGCGCAATGATGAGGTAGAGGGCAGTTAAAAGGTTTTGTCGGATTAGGAGCAGTGGAAACTGTCCAGAGAGTAATAAAATGGAGTCTCCTCGAACAAGTCAAAATGGTTTCAGTAAACATTTATAGGGAAGTTTCTGCACGTAACATCCCTTCCTGTCCGCTTAGATGGGAGATATGGACCCTGATCCAGTACACCTAGGAGTCGCTTTCAGTAATGCTCACAGCCATTCAAGAAGAAGACAAACTCTACTTTTATTAGGATCATGAAAGGAGAAGGTGGCACCACTGTGGCTCTAAAAGTCTGTCTTTCTGAGGCTCCAGATTTCTTAAGCATCTGGCCACTATGAAAGCGAATTCCCTGCATTGCAACAGTTTTTCCAGCTTTGGATCGTGTTTCGCCCCTCGTCCAACGACTCTGTCAAACATTGATCTTTATGTTGACCACGAAGGAAAATAAATTGCAGGATCCATCAATTCTTGTTATCCATTGCCTGCCTCACATTCTTCATGTTATCATCGTTGCAGGGTGGCGGCCGGTCCTCAGCCAGGGAGACCATCGGCCGCGTTGCTGCGGGAGCGATTGCTAAGAAGCTGCTGCGCCAGATTGCAGGGACGGAGGTGCTGGCGTTTGTGTCGCAAGTGCACAACGAAGTGCTGGAGGAGGGGACGGTGAACTTCAACACACTCACAATGGACCAGGTGGGGACGTTTTGCATTACTCACTGATTTGATCAGGCTGCAGTTGGGGATCTTGAAGAATGTGTCAGACAGCTTCGAGCTTGTTCAAAACGGGGCTTTTTAGATCTAGATGTCAGGAGGGTATACAGGTCAGCCACATCTTGTCGACGATCATAAAACAGGGTCGGGGAGCTTCGATCCGCAGGGCTCGGATGGGGATCTGAGCCTCAATTCTCTGTTCTTAATCCAGGACGGTTTGGTATTAAGCTGTCTCTGGACCAGAGTCCCTTCCTATGCCGTTCAGATTCGCGGCTACTGTTTTAAGGTTTTCTTTGAATTCAAAAACGGCGTTGAATCAGGAGCATTGCCAACAAACAAGCGTGTAAGCCCTCAGTCGTTCCCCCACCTCCACTGCAGATCGAGAGCAACATCGTGCGGTGTCCAGAACCCGAGGCAGCAGAGCGGATGATCAAAGCCATCGATGCGGTCAGGACGAGGGGAGACTCGTGTGGAGGTGTGGTGACGTGCATCGCAAGGGGTGTTCCGAAGGTGAGCACCTTTCGTGGAAGGGGAATGCGTTCGCCCCGAAGTCTGATTTCAAGCAAAGGAAGCTGGTAGTGTGGTTGAGGGCGGGTCATATGCATCACAAGAAGAAAGAGACCCCTCCTCTGCCGCCCTCCGATCCATTGGAAACGCACCGAACGCATCTTTCTGCTCGTACTGGGTAACAGGAGTACCTAAGTCCGTGGCAATCGTGAAATTTTTTATTTTTGGACTGGTCTGTAACGATTCTGACGACTCTTCTGCAGAGTTCAGTCATCAGTCCGCCCGCCTTGCTGGCCTGGCAAAATGTATTGCCTCACACGGAAGATACCATATCGACTCTAAAGCTCCATCAGTCAACCTCCTTTGACTTCGCACCGGAAACTTTCAGCTCGCGCATCCTTGACGTGCAAATATTTAAAAGCTCGCAGGCAACACACAACTTCTCCACCTATGCCTGACCCCGGTGTCAATCGATTTATGCATTGCATACAGGGCCTTTAGTCACTCGTTTTCAAGAGAAGGTGCTTGCGTTTAAGACCCACGCTTTGATTCCTCGGCCCCATCCCATCTCTGACTGGTTCTCGTGTTCCTCATAGGGCCTCGGCTCGCCCGCTTTCAACTGGATATGCTCGCAGTCAAGGCGAACGCTTTGGTCTCTATGCCCCATCCCGCATCCGACTGATTTCTGTGTTTTCCACAGGGCCTCGGGTCGCCCGTCTTCACGCAGTCAAGGCGTACGCTTTGACCCCTACACCCCATCCCGCTTCTGACTGGTTCTCGTGTTCCCCACACAGGGCCTCGGGTCGCCCGTTTTCAACAAGCTGGAGGCGGAGCTGGGGCGCGCCTGCCTGTCCCTCCCGGCGACCAAGGGCTTCGAGATCGGGAGCGGCTTCGAGGGCGCCAAGATGACCGGTAGCGAGCACAACGACGAGTTCTACCGGGCGGAGGACGGGGAAATCCGGACGCGGACCAACCGGTCGGGCGGCGTCCAGGGCGGCATCAGCAACGGGGAGGTCATCTACGTCAAGGTCGCCTTCAAGCCGACGTCAACCATTACGGTGAGCGGTTTACGACGTCCTTTTCGGGCGTGCTCGCAGAACGGGGACGAGGAGAAACAGTTGTTGCAGGATTGGGGTTGGGCGGTTTCAGTATCAAAAGAATGTGCTGCCATCGCAGTGTTCTTAGCCCTTGATGCGTTATTTGTGCCTCGGTATCCGCTAGGCGCAAGCTGTGGCAGGAATTTATTTCAATCATCAGATCGAAATCCTCGAGACCGTCCCACGGTTGGAACCAGCTCAAAGAAAAGCCGAGCATTACGCAAACACCTTTCCAACAGTGTCCCCGGCCCCGATCCTGCGAAGACTGCTTTTCCTTGTCGTTGCTCTGTCAAAGAAGGTCTTCTCAGGAGGAGGAGCGGAATGCTTTGAAGTTGCTTTCAAGCGGACAATAGCCGTCACGGTGGACATTTGGCGAGGAATATAAGAGAATCTTCAGGGGCGGCAGGGTGCGTCAAACTCGGACGTCGAAGTCATCTGCCTGTTGCAAATGAAGACGGATATGTTGCTCGAGGTCGAGAGACGTAGCAAAATGAATGTCAAGCAGAACCGATCTCTAAACAGCGCTCTCTGCCTGCCTTTACAGACGAAGCAGAAGACAGTCACTCGTGAAGGAGAGGATACAGAGCTGCGGGCCAAGGGCCGCCACGATCCGTGCGTTGTTCCTAGAGGTGCGTTTGCTGCTTGTCCAATTTTCGTTTTGTCGCGTGCGCTTCAGCATTTTGTTAAAGCTCTGGTCAGACTGACCGACCAAGTCTTCGATAGTCATGTTCTCTGTATTGCTCCTTCATGATATTGTGTGAATTTCACGAAAGCCTGATCAGGTCGACCGACCATCCTTTTGAATGTGTGGATTAGTTCCTTACTGTTGTTATCAGCTCTCTTCTGGGTCAGAGGAAATCTAAAGCACGGAGCTGAACAAGTGCTAGGTTGCCACGTGGTAACGTTTTGGCACACCGCTTCCAAGTCATTGACGCTTTAATGGTCCTTGCAGCTGTTCCTATGGTAGAGGCGATGGTGGCTCTAGTGCTCGTAGACCAGCTGATGGCACAGTTCGCGCAGTGCCAGATTCTTCCTCAAGCGAAGAGCAAGCCGCTCATTCTTGAGAGCATGGAAAGGCAGACTGAAGCAGTGGAGGCTGCTTCTTTAAGACCACATGTGTAAATCTGACACTTACTAATTGGCTCATTGGCAACACCGTCTGCACCAACCTCCACATTGTGAGACGTGCGATTGTGGCCGCCAGGGCGGCCCGGCCACATGAAGCACTTATGGGACTATTCTTATCGGATTCCTGTCTTCAATGGACCGATTGGGTATCCTGGCGCAAGTATGTTCGAATCGTTTCAAAATGCGTATGCCATGCCAGATTTATGAGGCCCTTGATTTGTGATTTCGTGAAATCCGTATTGCCCATATCTCGATCGGAGGAGATAGCTGCAATGTCTGCCTCAGGCCCGTGTGATCCACGCATGCTGCATGACGATACGATATCTCGGACGCGCGCGGCCTGCTGCACATGAGCAGCTATGCAAACTCCTTTTTGCACGTTATGACCATAGCGTAACTCTTGACGGTTTTCGCGTGCAATCTTGAGTGTGCAGTTGAAGAAGTTGCATTGCTTCGTGACGGATCGACTGTAGCTTGCATTAATGAGCATTGCTATATATGGCATCCTCAAAATGGCAACCCGCGGGCAACTTCAGGGTATGTAAATATCCGAAGCAATGCCATTAGGTTCACCGTTTGATTTCTTGCCCCAATACCTTGAAGCGTGTGAATTTGTCGCGCGGCTTAGCGTGGTGAGCAGAATTAGAGTGATGGCACATGCCTCAGATAGAATCTTCTGATGACGCTGGATTTGTGGATGCGTTCGATCCTTCTACAGAAGCGCTCTGGCGCGAGCGTACCAACTTGAACCCCTGACTCAACGGCTGTCAAAGTGGAAGAGCATGATAGAGTGCCATCAGGACGGTGCATTTTATCGCGCACCGCCCATTGATATCCATAGGTTATGTCATGTTGACCAGCGCGCAACTTCTGGTCACATTAAGGTTGGATTTGCATAGTGTCAAGGCCTATGACGATCCCGTGTACTCGTGCCACCGTACACAGAGAGACCAAGCCACGACATGATTGACGTGACGTTGACGTGACCCGATTTGCGTTTTGAAGACTCGAGGAGCTACAGAATATAGTACTTAGTACCGGCCCTTTGCATGCTGCGCCAGCAATTGCAGGCTTCATTCTCTTAAGGAGCATTCGCGTAGCGCTTCTCATCGACCTTCCAGGCGGCAGACCGGGCCACCTCTTGGTTGCCGGGAAGCAGGCTCACTTCAGCAGCGCCAAGCTCCTGCGGGATGCTTTAGGGACAGACAGATAGACACTATAAAATTGCGCTAGGTCATGTCATTAGTTGAGTGAAGAGGATCAATCTGCGTCCTAGAATCGAGGTAATCTGGAATTGTTCGTGAGAAGATAAAGTTGATAGAATCGAGTGGATCAGCCAGAGGAATCAAACCAGGCTGTCCCAAAAGTACTTCAAGTGCACTTTGGTCTCCTTCGAAACGTCATAAGAAACTTCAAGTGCCTGCCAGCAAGCGGGGTGGAACGATGAGGAGCAAGGTGAGTTGAGCGGCGAGGTTTCCAGTGCCTGCTAAATCCATCACGGCAGAGCACCCTCTTGGTACTCAGGTTGAGCAACTTTGAGGATTGTAGCCAAGTAGGAATGGCCGACTCACAAGATGATTTCGCTTGCTTTTGCTCACGTGCTGACAAACGCGCGCTCCAGCTCTAGGAAGACACACTTTTAAACTACCTGCTCAATAAGATCAGGAGACTTATGTATAAGTAGATGTCATGCAAGTTCTACCGCCTGAGAAATAGGACCATATGTTCTTCGAACTTGGTGAGAGGGCTTATGGTTTGATTCTTTTAACCAGCATTTTTGAGGAAGAGTTGCTTTTAGTGTCAGAGTGTCCTGTCCACATTTCCAGCTTCCCAAAGACAGTCTCTTTCTATGTCATGACTTGAGGAGGAATCCTTGCCTCCGTCAATCCCAGGTATGTCTTTCATAGAGACAGCATATACAGATAATATTTACTGCTTTCGTATGAACAAAAGATTCAAAGTTCCACCTGTATGACGCTCGTACCAACAGCAAAAGTGCTAGCAATCTGCTGAGCAAGCTTCATGCTCCATCGTGGTATTTTGGCTTCTTCCATGCAGAAAGAATCAAGGACTGGTGCGGAAGACTTGTCGGCCAGATATCTTATGAAGCTATCATCTGTCCTGATGCGCCCAACCGTAATCTATGAGTTGAGAAGATTGGTGGAAGAAATCAAGGGCAGCCCGCTACATGGCGGCACCGGAGAGGATCAGTGGCAGAGACTGCAAATGCACCCCAGTCAGGCATACAAGCAGGCAAGTGCCAATCTCCGCGGCTTGTAGGCTATTGACATCTCCTGACGTCAGCTTGCTAGCTGCCTCTTGGCCAAGTATCGTGGTCCGTGCGCAATCTTTTTCTCGGGTTTTTCATGCTCGCCTGAAAGCTGCCAAACAAGGTACACTCCAATGTTTATGACAGATGCTGAGTAGAGATATAGCTAGCCTCTGGAGTGTGAGATTTCTGCAGTAGTAAGTATAAGAACCTTTTCAGAGCTTCTATATCGGTCGGGTCATTGGATCGCCAATGAGATGCGAAGTAACATGCATCAAGAATAATGAACCTCTTCTTTTTCTTTCCGTTCTTCATTTCGTGCTTTCATCTCCGTTGCTCATGCGCAGCTTTGAGGTTCTCCGAATTGACCAGGTCTTCTGTTTCATCTTTAAGCACAAGAGCTGGGCTAATCTACTGGTCGCAGTCCCTCAACCTCACCTGCTCGGTCCATTCTGCTTTCGATCCACTCCAAAGAAGTCTTCCTGTATTTGCAGGTGTTGGAACTGACAGCGAACAAGGAAGTGGTGAGAGAGCTGTTCGAGCTGCTCATCGAAGAAGCCGACACTCTAGACTCCCTTCCAGGAATCGTCGGCTGCTTGGAGCGGCTATACAGTATTCCACCATTCTCCAGACAGGTACACCTGATTTCTTCAAATTGTACTGCGTCTTGAGGTTGTAAACAAAGTGTTAGAGGACTATAAGTAACGATGTTGCTTTCAAACTCTCCTCTCACAAAATTACCGTCCCTCGATCTTGTCAACTGCTTCGACGAAACATCAGAAATCTGTTCATAAGATTCTGCAAGACAGCACGCTCCTCGGAATAACGAACTTCTACCAACCGCAAAGCCAAACGCGTCAGAGGTTTCGGTGCTGATCGCTGCAACTCAGAGGAAGTCGAAAATGAAGATTGAAGGTTCGCGTACGGCGTCATGCCCGACACAGGAGCCGTGTCCTGTTGTGCTTTCTGTGATATCCACAACAAATACTTTATGAACACCTTGTGCCCCACTTGTCCATTCTGCCACAGCTTCTCTTGGTTCTTTGCAGTTCGACGCGTCGGACCTCGCCCCCTTGGTAGCTGAGTTCTTCGAAGACGTGTTTCCGCTGAAGGCCTCTCAGTTCCTCTATGGTGGTACCCCCCCCGAGAACGACTTCGCAGCAGACCAAAAGCATCGCGCATGGCAACTTTTCCTGTCGCAAACCTTCGATCTCACCAGCCACCTCTTCCGGCACACGCCCGACTTCACAACCGAAGCCCTGCACAGCGGGCTGCTCTCCGCCCTCATCAAGTTCATCCCGTTCCGCGATACCGAGCCCTCTTCCGAGATCAAAGATACTCTTAGCCTCGTACTTTCCATTCTCCTGGTTCAAAACATCTGCAAAGCCGTCGCCGGGTTCTTCCGGGGCGATGCTCCGACCAGAGAATGGGCGTCCGAACAAGTCGGATCAGCGGAGTGGGCGTCCTGGATCGCGGACGTCCTCAGCTTCTTGCGGCGCGCGGCCGCGGCGGTACACGCGCCGGAGGCAGGGTTTTACTTGTCGGCCCTCATGGCACTGGTGCACGTCGTTTCCCTCCTCGCACAGGAATCTGTCGGCACAGAGATTTTCACGCCCGCGGTTGTGGCGCACGTTTCCGACGGTGTGAACGCGCTCTTCGAGGTGGACGTGGCACACCTCGAGGCGTTCAGAAGGATCTGGCATAGCACAGAGTACCGCCTGAAGCATCTCAACTCTCCGACGGAAACGGAAAACCGTCAGAAAGAGCAGAACCTCGAAGAAAAGAGCCGCGTAGCTTTTCAAGAGGCCATGGACCTGCTGACGAAGCTGAACGCCGGGGCGGGGGATGCGGAAAGTCTTGGAACTCTCATCACCAACAAGCTGCACGCTCTCATTCTCTCGGAGCTGGCCTTCGCTCAAGTTGACAAGTACAAGCGCGTCATTGCGGAGGGAGCCCCGGACGTCATGATGCGCGTGCTGGAGCGCGGCGCGGCCGCGCTGCCGCGCGGCCAGTTGACGACCCAAGCCAGGATGGCTCTGAACGTTCTCATGGTCATGATAGGTTGCGGCGGGCCCGCGGACCTGCGCGGCCGCGTCGCGCAATATGACATGCCGTACGCGGAGGGTTTGGAAGAGATCGGCCCGCGGCTCTTGGCGTGGGCGGCAAGCGACTACGGGGCGCTTGACCGGTACGACCGGGAGAACCTGACGCAGTGTCTGTTCGCGGCGTTTGAGACGGTCCCCGGGCGGAAGTACCGGCACCGGTACGCACTGGTGGAGCTGGCGGTCCGGACCATCGAGGAGGACGAGGTGCACGGGGGAAGCGTCACCGGGAAGGCCTGGAACGGCCTCGCGTCGCTCGCGCTCTTCCTCCCGGAGTTTTCCCCCGCTCTCGTTGCAAGATTCGAGGCGTTCGATGCGCTGCCAGAGGAGGAGCGGCTGGCAGTTGGCGCGACCTTACGTTTCCACCCAACCCAGCCCCGGTCTCTGACCGGCTACCCGGATATCGGCCTTTCGGCATAGCCTATGCGCCATCAGGGACCCAAAACGTTACCGTACTCCATCTAGGCCGTTACCACTCCGTCCGATTCACTGCACTACACACACACACACACACACACACAGCAACTTAGCGTGCAGTCTCCTCAGTCTTGCACGATCCCTTGAAGTTGGTTGCCAGGCTTCAGCAAGCTGGCGATCAGCGTGACCCATGTGGGACACAAGCATGCACGTGTCATCCAATGAGTGAAGGGTGACTAGCACGGGGGGGATCGAAACGAAGAGAGCGCTGCATCATAGTGAAGCCGCCTGCGTCGGATGCTGATGCTGCACCATGACCAGGTAAGCTGCTCGGGCGCATGCCTCTGAGTGTGTGCGGGGTCATGCAATGTGCCGCTGCTGCTGTTGTTCACAGAGTCCAAACTGTCCAATGCGTTTGGAATGAGCCAGGGGTTCCGTCCTCAGGCTTGCAATTGGCTTTGCTGGGGTGTTTTCTGTGTTTCTTGTGAAACAATCGAATCACTCAGCAACACATCAGAATTCAGCCTGCTCGACAGTGCCAATCATTGTTAGCTTCCGGTTGACACCTTTGGGTAAGGTAGATGTTTTCAAGGCCTGACAGGTGCTGCAGGCATGAGTGTCAATCGATTGAAAATGAGCTGGAAATCGAGTCCAGCACCAAAGCTGCCAGACTTGCGGCAATTCTGTTATGAGGTGATGGGCTTAAACGCATGGCCCCTCAAATGGCTTTGAGACTGCCAGTCTTGCCTCCATGCTCGAGTATACTCCAGTCAACTTGGGTGCGTAGCTAGGGCTGCAAGACTTGAGTGTGTTTCTGGGTGCGCTGTGTTGAAACTGGGACGCCAAACACATAGCGGTGTTGCTGAGCTGGTGCACTGGTAGAGGTTGCCTAATAGTCCGAAGGCAACCTCCCTCCGGTTTTGCAGGTGCGCGCAAAGCTGGTGCCCACCTTGAACCATCATGGCAAGGAGCCGGCTTTGTGGCCGTAGCAAGTCTGACCATCGCGACTGCCAGGCAGTCCGCTTTGCACGTGCTGCAGAATACAGGGAAAGGATCCATATTGGTGCTGAAAAGCAAGCAGTTATCATCGCCGCTGTCAATGCTCGGTGCCATTCTGCAGAACCTGCCCCTCGACGTCGACGGGGGCAGCAGTCGAAGAAGGAAAAGAAGGAGAGAATTGAGAAGCCCCGTGAGGTACCGCGCCGGTGGTGCTTCACTGCTGCTGAGCAGAAGGCGAAGCGGCATGATGCTGAAGTACTGACAAGTGCCGTGGAGTGTGGTGCAGAACACGGTGAGTGAAGGGCAGCTCAGGGCTGTACCAGATTTCAATGTCTTTCTTTCTAAGAACTAAGAGGCCACTTTCTGGTACAGCTCCGTCAACTATAACATCTTCGGAAACTCGGATGGGATGGGTGGGTGTCGGGTGACATCTTCGGAAACTTGGTGGAATGGTTGGGTGCCCCACAAGCAGTGGTGTACCATGCTCCAATGTCTTTCTTTCTCAGAAGTAAGAGGCCACTTTCTGGTACATCGCCGTCAACTATAACATCTTCGGGAACTTGGTGGAATGGTTAGGTGCCCCACAAGCAGTGGTGTACCACGTTCCAATGTCTTTCTTTCTAAGAAGTGAGAGGCCACTTTCTTGTACAGCACCGTCAACTATAATATCTTTGGAAACTTGGTGGAATGGTTGGGTGCCCCACAAGCAGTGGTGTACCGAGAATCAATGTCTTTCTTTCTAAGAAGTGAGAGGCCACTTTCTGGTACAGCGCCGTCAACTATAATATCTTCGGAAACTCGGGTAGGATGGACCTCCTTACAAGCACCGGAGTACCAAGAAAACACGTGTTTCTTTTTTAGAAGTGAGAGGCCACTTTCTGGTACATCGCCATCAACTATAACATCTTCGGAAACTCGGTGGAATGGCCGCCCCCACAAGCCGCGTCTTCCATTCTGCGGCTTCAGCTGAACTATTCGCTCTAAAACCGCATGTTTGGTCTTGGGGTGTGCAGATCGATACCAATGAACAGTATTACTTGCTGTGGGCATGTGTGGGTTGAGGCCTTGGGCCGTCATCAGACTGATTTTTGAGGGGCGCAATCAGCCTGTTCTCTAAATCGCTATCGACCTGCTTTTAGGGACGTGATTAGGCAGACGTTGGGCACCACTTGCTGGGTTGCCGGAAACTGGCTGGTGTGGCTGGATTGTTGGAAAGTTCCTGGTATGGCCGGGTTGCCGGAAAGTGCCTGCTCTGGCCGGGTTGTTGGAAAGTTCGGCCTGGTATGGCCGGGTTTGTGGAAATTGTCTGGTATGGCCAATCTGCTGGAAATTTCCTGGTATGGCCGGATTGCCGGAAAGTGCCTTGTATGGTTGCCCCCAGCAAGCAGAGGGGTCAATGACGGAGGCGTACCACGAAGCAATGTGTTTCTTGTAAAACTAAGCGTTTCTTTTGTGGTACTCAGGAGTGGGGTCCCAGGTTGGGGGAGCAGGTGCCCCCACGTAGGGATCAACGGCAAATCCAAGAGATTGCCCGGAATGGCCGGGTTGCAATGTGTAGTCCGGCTAGCCGTAAGCCAAGCCGGCCGCCCCAATCATTCAGAACCAAGTCATTCAGAGGTATGTGCAAGCACTGTAGTATCACCCTGCTGAACCACACCTTGTCGAAGGTTCCTAGGGAATACACGTTTTCGCCTCTGAAACTTGTTTGCAACATGTGGTCTGGCCAGCCGTAAAGCATACAGAAAGCATGTGGTCAACACTTTAATGTCATCCTGTTGGACCACACCCTGTTGACGCTTCTCAGGGAATACACGTTTCGCTTCTTGCAACGTGTGGTCCAGCCAGGCGCAAGCCCGGCCAGCATGTAAAAGCCTATGCGGCAAGCACTGCAGTGTCACTTTGCGTGACCACACCTTGTCAATGGTTTTCAGAAACCCGGGTTTTGTGCTACGAAGAGCCGTGTGCAAGGTGTGGTCCAGTCATTTGTGGGTGGCTCCTTTTGGGATGGCAGGGGAGCAGTGCAAACGGGCGATGGTTTTTAATGCAATAGCGCTTCCTCTCCGCAGGTGGCAGGAGGGTCGTAACAATGCGGCGCTTTTCAGGAGCCCCATGGGCACTGGGAAGTCGACAAACAACCGTGCTATCCTCGAGGAGGCGCCCCGTCCGCGCGCTGTCCTCATGACCACGTATTGCCAAACACAAGCCAGCGATGCAGCCGGGAAGAACCAGAATCTGCGCGCTACGGCGATCTCAAAACCAGATGCGGGCGCGATGTCGGGGAGCGCTTTGTCGAGCCCCTGGCCGACAGGGAGCTCTACCCGCGTGTCATCCGCCAGGTCGACAGCCTGCCCGGGCTCCTTGACGAAGATCCGCTCGTCCCGGCCTTTGACCTCGTCATTCTTGACGAGAGCGAGTCAATCCTCCCGCACCTCTCGGCAGACACCCTCTCGAGCGGGTTCGACAGCTGGTCGACCCCTTAATCTTGTGCTTCGTAAGGAAGGGCATCAACCTGCCCACGACGGGGCCAGAGGAACGCGGGTACAGGATGGCGATGGGGAAGAATGTCGGACGGGTTCCAAGGCTCGGGTTTGAGGAGACGTGACCAGCTCAAAACCGGTTGGGTCAAGGTCCAGAACCCCCTATGACTGCGTGGAGCGGAGATCGCTTTCTCGCAGAATCCGCGCGCGCACGTGGCCTCTGCATCTGCATCTGCTCTGACTCAGCCACATCTCCTGCAGGATTGTCCCGTTCGTTGCCGGGGGCCCAGCCAACCTCAGCACGGGCAGGATGCTGGACTTCGTCAGTGTGACGTCACCGAACGGCCCCGATGGTTACCTCACCTATTCCGGTAGCCTAACGCAGCCGCCCTGCACCGAGGGCGTCACCTGTTCAGCGGAATCGGCCTTCTGATGGAGCGGGACAAGGAGACTAAGTACTTTTGGACCGGGACCGGACGCAGTAGGAATCAAAGGGAAAGTTGGTCGCTAACCAGGGCAATAACCAGACTTCACCCCTGGTTAGTGGGCAAGTAACCATGCCAACAAGGCTGGTTATGCCCTGGACCTGGTTGTTGGACATGTAACCAGGCCGTAAACAGCTGTTAACCAGCCCCGTTTATCGGGCGAAAGCCCCTGTGTCGATAGCTGACGTAGTGCGATTCAGGATTCCAACGGTGTCCCCGGTCCTGATCCAAGAAGTACTGACTCTCCCTGTCCCCGCTCGAATAGCTTACGTCAGCGTGTGATATCTAGCACGCGCGCTGACTTTTCTGGTGTCCGCACTAAGCAATGAGCGGCGTTCGTGCATGAAAGGCCAGGTGTGTGACGCCTCCGTTGGCTTATTCTGGCTGAAGGATTTGTGTGTGGGTATCCAAACGCTGCAAACAAGTTAGATTCTGGTCTGATATTACTTGCCGTCTTTGTAGACTGCCCGAAATCGCATTCCAAAGATCAACACTTTTTGGAACCTGCTTGGGAACGTGCCCCGGTTGAAAGAGCTGGATTTGTAAAGGAACGAGTGGGCTTGTCTCGCCCTTTTCTCAGCAACAACCATCCTAAATTGCTGCTGCAGTGCCTTCTTACTTTCTTCTATCGTACGTGCTCTCGCAGGTTCATCACGACCAAGCCCCGGTACGCTTCCCAGGCCCAGATCATCCTTCTTATGAGCGCCACAGCTGGTGTGTCCGGGGCAGCCCGGACGAACAACCGGCCAACTCAGCCTCTGTACAGCAGAACCATCTTCAGGATCGGCCTGACATAGAGTGCGAGTTCGAAACGCGAATCCTCCCGTCCCATTGGCCACGGGTCATTAGAGGTATAGCCCCTATGGGATACTGGTTGATTGCAGTCCGGAAGACTTATTCTCGTCCAGACCGTCATCCGGGCAACTTGGCAAGGTTTCCAAACGCATATGAATCGTTCTAGAGAGATTATAACGAGTTTTTTGACGAGAACAAAACCCAAACTGATAATCGAGCTCTTTTCAAGTCAGAGAAAACCCAATCTACTTTCTCTTAAATGCTGTGATGCCATTGGACATGATGGATTTGACTGTCAGAGCTTAAGGAATGCATTCGCAGCCCACCATCTTTGGTTGGCGTACACGGCTCGCGGCGAGACAAAAAATGGAACTTCCGCGGGCCCCATCTTTGACAGAGCCAAGATACTAGCAAAAGCATGAACTTTGTAAAGTCTTCATATGAATCTCTCTTAAATTGGCCGGCTTCTTCAGGACCATACTCCCAGCTTGCGTAATGGTTTTCTTATATCCTGGTGTTAGGATACGTACAGCGCCATCAATCGCATGTAAGTAGTACATGGGCTAGGAGAGAATGTTACTTGCTGATCAGAGCCGGGCGCGTTGAAGGCCGGCTGGCCGCGCTCGGGAATCACGCCTGTTGCAGTTAAACGGATGTACATTCATGCATGCACGATAAATGGGCAAGAGGACTTGATAGGAAAGGGCGTGTATGTATATGATCATTCATTGAACTGTAGTATTGTAGAAAACATGCACTGTAGAATTCTTGTAGAAAACACTGTAGAATTCTTTGAGGTAACCTAGGAGGGGTAGACATTGTGAAAACGTAGCAGCAACGCAACCCTATTGATTCGATAGAGTATTGGGGCACGAAAGCCTGTTGCGAGAATTAGACCCTCTCTAACCCGCTCTACGCCCGACACATGAACTCGGTCCTTTGAATACAAGCTGATTAAATCAATCAACTGTGAACCATGCCGCATGCACGGGCCATGATCTGGGCTGCTTCAAACTGAGTCTCGCCATACTTACAGTCGAAAGTATGGCACTTATCCTTACATCGGTCGATTCCAAACAATCATGTCATTGCAACTACGCTAAACTGGTCCAGGGCTGGTTACAACGAAGTGCGTTGTTGATGGCTGAGTATGACTGTCTATGTAGAACCACGAACATACCCTTCTGTGTTGTGAGATTCCAGGTGCACCCAGTCATGATGACTCCAACTCCTTCAGGACCATGGCGTCACTAGTATTTTGTTGCGTGTGCAGGCAGGGACCCTAAGTACAGCAACTCAATGCACCGCCAGATCTAAGCGAACCCTGCTGCTTCCACCTTGGCCCACAGCCCCTGTTGCTGCAGAAGCTCTCGGTGGAACTCCAGCCACCTTCTCAAGGACGCCTCTTGACCAGGGTAGGGCCACTGCTTCCAACCAGCAAGAGAGGGCAAGACGTAATCGACGTACAGGCAGACCAGATAAGGCTCATCCTTGCTTACGGCTCTATTGTATACAAATTCCTTCACGTCAAGATTCCCCTGGATGTGAACGCCCTCGAAGCACCCCCGGTGAGCCATGTTGCCCTCAACGCCCCCACTCATGCCACGCCAGCTGGACGCGCTGGTCTTGTCCTGGCGGCCGTTTGTGAGGACCTTATGGCCGAAGCTGATGCCCCGGATGTCGGCTTTCATCATGTGCTGCACATAAGCAGCCAACTCTTTCACAAAGTGCTCTGTAGTGGGTCAAGTTGGCCACATGCGATCAGAACAACCAATCAGCGCCATGTCTCTTGAAATCCAGCTTCCTGGATCCGGGTGAAGATACAGTGACCATTCAGAGCAGCTGAGGCAACAGAAAGTTGCACAGCAAGTATGCTCAGAGCCAACCTACAAAGCCGGCCTTTCTGAAGACGCACTGGTAATTAACGACGAACAGCCAGCAAAATCCATCTCTGTCTAGAGACCCGCAGTCCAGCAGCTTGAGTAGGGAATTAAATCACAAAGGGAACAATCGAGCTCGCCAAATATACACCACAAAACCATCCTCTTCAAAGCAGAGGCGTCACAACCACAAAAGAGGCTCAACAAGCTTGTTCTGCTCAAGGGCCACCTACAACAAGCAGCTGCTAAGGCGTTGGGTATCTTGCGAGCTGGATGGCATGATCAACATCTAACCCACCTTGTTGATGGCGTAAGCCAGCACTGGCCGGTCCGCCACTGTCACTGGGTGCCCCAGGCAAATCGGGACATCCTTGAGGTCCACCTCCCCTGCACAAAGCAAAGACACTGAGCATGTGCAAATCTGGCACAGCCGTCATGGGGAGCTGTTCCCACAATTTACTGCCGGCTGATGCGAAAGGCTAACTAGGTTGATTGGTCCGATCAAGATCTGCAGGCGCAACCCCAAGCAGAACTGTAGGAGCAGAAACATCTTACTTTATAAGCAGAACTTTTCAAAACGCAGGTCTTAGAAAGCAACCGAAGAAACAACACCATATGCAGGATTGTAAGGGGTACTGCTATGCAATCAGCAAGCAACTAGAAAGAAGAGAAGAGCTTTTGTCAGATATCAGAAATCTCTGGAAACCCCTCGCATAGAGACCACATGCCAGATGGGTGTCCACCATTTTCCTGCTCACCAGGTGTCCCAGAGAGGAAGATGGGCAGGTGCTCGTCCAATTCTGTAGAGGGATCGCCTGATGGGACGAAGAATCTGTTCTGGCTGTTCGGCCTGGCTTTGCTGGGGTCAATCTCCACAACGAGAAGTAGTACATCGACGTGCTTCTCGAACAGCTCTCCATCGGCGGGATTTTTGTAGTAACGGGCTTGGAGGGGATTTCCAGACTTGTCAGGGCTCGAGGGGGGACTACGAACTTCGGTATTTAGCAGGTTATACTTGGTGCGATCCTCCTCGCCGTGAACTGCGATCCTGTACCTCATTCCTGAGGCCCGTGTGAGAGCACATCCTGACAAAATACTGTCGGACCAGAAGCCGCGCTCCAACACCTCATCGCTGGTGCTAGTGTTATGTGCCGCACTCAGGTGGTACTGATAGTACTTGTCACCTGCAGCAGGATGTACTTCCTCAGAGGTGCAATCTTCCCTTCCTAGTGCAGGGTACAGAAGGCAGTGCTCTTTCTCAATCCCATTTCTGCAAGCCTCAACCTCAACACCTATGTCCTGGAAATCTGAAGTTTACTGCCTCAAAGAATCTCGACTTCCTGCATTTTCTGCATTGAAATATAGGAAAACATGTCAAGACCAGCTTAGCCCTTCTTTTATGGTAACAGAATGCCAATAAAGAGCTCCATTGAATGGATGACCATCTTTGACGCTGCCTCATGCTCTGACTACCCATACATATGACCACAGACGAGATCCCACATCAGACACAAAAGCATACCTTGTGCCTGGAGGTTGAAGATGGGGATGCTCTTGAGGTATGGGGAGACTGCAAAGGTTGAGCCATAGCCAGAGAAAGACCTTATGCACCCAACCGGCAGGTCTCCGAAACCTGTGCTCGTTCCAACCTGCTGCAGAATGTTCCGGTCCAAGTCCGACAGATATGCAAGTGACGGGGTTCTCAGGCGCCCTAAGTTATCAAAGGTAAGGATCTGGCGGTAGTTCTTCAGGTCGACGGGTCCAGTGAGATCGATGCTTTTGATAGGCATCAATCGCTCTAGCCCTGTGATCTTATCGTCCTCCTCTTTGAGACCCAATTCCGACCAACTTGCCACCAGACCTTCCACTTGTCCCCTGACCTCTGGATTCTCGACAACATCGCTGCTGCATTCATCTGCAGGAAACTCAACCGATCTGAAGCTATCTGCAGCCACCTTGGACACCTTCTGGGGGGTCACCGGCTCCTGGTCGAAGTCCATGGAGTGCCGTCTCAGGCCTGGCGACTCAGTTTTAGTTCCACAGCTGACTCTGAGGAGCTTGCTTGCCCGCAGGCCTCTGTGTAAGGTACAGGCCTGAGTTCACAAGGAGTCAGCGACTTTCAGAGAAGATTTGAGGTTGCTCCGATCTCCTCGATCCTAAAACGAGAGAGAAGGCATACTTACCTGTTATTCAGCTAGGACAGAGAGGACCACCGACACTGACCACACCCCCCGGGACATGTCGCAAAAGTTCACGAACAGTATTACCTATACGACCGGTGGGGATTCCCACCCAACCCAGCCCCGGACATCGCCGCCCAGCACTTACCATTACCAAACTCTGGTGAACCGTTCCCGTCCCAACGGTTCCTCCTGAAGCACTCCCTTG